TTCTGTAAAATAAGCTCACTGTAATGCAGTGATTCCCATGCCACAGTTATGCTGTGTTCCTCTCTTCTGTCCTCTCAATTTGTGCTGCCGCTGTTTATTTCCTCTTTCTGGCTATAAGACATTTTATTTATTAGCGCTGGATTTCCTGTTGCCTGCAGCTGCCCATACTTTACTCTCCCCAGCTCACTTTGTCATTGGAGTAAGTCTTGCTCTCGTCAAGTTTGGCTGGTGATTGTATTAAGGAACACTTGACAAAGAGGGGGACTTGCACGTCACCCTGGGCATACAAAAAAACCCGTAAATAAACCAAAATCTGCTATGAGGACCCCTCAGAGGTATAGAAGGGGTCCCTTTTTCATGACTTACTGATGCAGAGATTATACTTTTTTGGATGGCAGGAACACTTCTTGTTTTGCTTGCGTGCACTGCATCACATGAAGGAAGTCAGCTCTTTGACTGTAAATAGTCTGCAGGTCTGACTGATGAGGGGCTAGAGGTTTGCAATTATTTCTATTTCAGACTATGGGCCACATCATGGTAGAAACATTGTGCAGATTTTGCACACTTGAGGTTCATGAATGACTTCCCTGACCTTTTGTGGACATGCAACATCCTCGTAGTAAACACAAAGATTGCTTATACAGAAAGTGAGATCATGAAGGGGAAAAAAATGTTTTGCTGCCTTGAACGTGATTTCCTTGCTGGAAGGAAGGAGGCAGCACAAGCTCTTAACGTTCTATCACCAGCAAGGTCAGTTGGAAAAGCTCACTCATCTGCTCTGGGGGGAAGTACTTCATCTAAATTCTCTGTTGCCCAGTTGCTATCTGGTACTATTTCAAATGGCAGAGAATAAGGTTGAAGCAGCATGTAATGCTGCTCTTATTAATATTCTCTCTTTTGTGTTTTATGTGCGAGGGACTGCCCTAATTTTATCATCTTCTTCTTCTGTTTGGTAGGGATTTGGAGCCTGAAAACTGAGTAATTAGAGTTAGGGGTGAAGTGAAACCCAAGGCATGGAGGCAGCTGAGGTGTGTTTTACAGCGATGCAGCCATAGTCCTGTCAGGATGTGATCTTTTCAGCTGCTGTTCACAGTGGGCAGTTGCTGGCGGAGAAGCGCTGCAGGTGCAGCACCATTTAGACACTTCTTCCTTTGTGTCAGATGTTCGAGAGCTGCCCAGAGACATTAAATAGGGAACTGTCTTATGACATCTTCCAGGTAAAATGGAAATGGGAGATCCTGAGCATTTGAATTATGAAAGATCCCACTGTGTTACCTGTGAGCCAGTGTTTTAACCCCAGTGTCCTGGCCAAATTCCAGCTCTGCTAATTACATCCTGCCTATGTGAAAATTCCCCCGCATTTGTACACTGCTTTCTTCCTCGCTTGTTTTCAGCAGCTGTGTGGAGTTGCCAGGTGCGGCGAACTGCTTGCCATGTTCCACCTCAGGCCTGGCTCCCTTTCAGCAAGGAATGAAATGAGCACTGTGCACAGCATTTGCAGTGAGTCCAGATCCTCTGCAGGGATGGGTGTTACAGAAGCAGCATACCCAAGGACCGGTTCTGGGGCCTCACCACAGAAGGTAATAGTGTGAAGAGGCCAAAGGCTTTAGTGCTGAGGTACACCATAGGGTCACAGGAGAGACAAGAGGAGGCTGCTGCACTGTGATCTGATTTTTCTCCCAGCTTCTCTCACCTACAAGGGCTGGAATAGCTGGTACACACTGATCTGGTTTTGGGGGCTGACTGACTTCAGGTTTGTTTGCTCAGTGGGAGAAGCTTTCAGTTATGCTTACACTGGTCACCATCAACATATATCCAGTTTTTGCACGTCTGGCTATTGATCAGTGTGGACAAAGGAAGCTAGGGAAAAGAAATAATTCAAAAACTTTGAATCTATAGATTTGTTTCCTTCTCTTCCACTTCATGACTCATATGCACATTGTTTTTGGCTCAGTCCTGTCGGGAACAGCTCTCTTCAACTGACCATTAATCCCCCCAGTAAAAACCTCTCATACCACTGGAGAGGAACTGGCTGATGGATTATCCCTCTTTTCTGAAGAAGTGAAAGAGATGGCTGCAGCAGTAGTTACAGGGTTCTGATAATAACAAGCAGTAAGAAATGCAAGTCACATATAGAAGGATAATGAAATTACATATATTCAATACAGGAGTGACTTATTGGCTCATCTGTCCAATTTTCTTGTCAGTCAAGTTCTCTCTTTGATAATGGCATTTTTACCATAGACCTGCCTGAATATTATATGGAAGCACGTAAAAAAATGTTTGAGGATGCTCCTGACAGAACACCAACTCCACTGGCAGTGGAGGAGAGCATGCCCAAGGCAGACAGAGCAGTGACTTGATTGTTTTTCCCTCACCTCACATCCCTCTCTGATTTTTTCAACATTTTAATTCCATGGGACAGCAGTTGTGAGCAATCTCTCTGTTTCAAGAGGGAAAAGCAAAGGTTGTCTCAAGGTGTGATGCCAGCATGTTTTCACCATATCCCAGAAGGGGAAGTACAGCAAGCCTGGAAAAGGGAGGGAATGTGTGTTTTCTGTGGTATAAGCTAGAAAGCTGTGACTCAAAGACCCAAGTCCTCTTACCACACTGCCCACGTGACTTCAGCAAGGCACAACTATTTTAGTCTCATTCGCCCTGTCTTTAAACTGTACTTGCTTCACAGGGATGAGAAGGGGATTAAACTTTAATTCATTAATGTTTGTAAAACATTTTAGAAATTGGATGGAAATTTCCCAGGTAGTGCAGAGAGCATTATCTCCCTCTCCAACTGCCAATGGTTCTGCAACATAAGAGAAATGAGTGAAAACATTTCGGTGTTTATAACAATGAAACCCACCAGCTTTCCCCCCCTCTATATTTTCAATGTTTTTTTAAAATAGGGAGAGTCAGCAATGAGAAATTTCAGTCTGAACAGAGTGCAGTTGCTCCCTGGAGACTTTAATGCATCTCAGTGGAATTTTCCCTGCTTTCAGTCTTTTGTGCTTCAAAAAGGTCCTGGAACCAGGCATGTGACTGTAAGAGCAAAAACACTTCTCTGTCTGAGTGTTCTACCAAATATTTACAAGATACCCAGATAAAATGGCTACAAGCAAGTTCAGCAGGGTTTGAGTGGCCAGTAATGCAACACCCTCAGTAAAATCTGAATCTTAGTTAAAACAAAATTAAAATTACATGTTACAAAGGTTTCTTCAAAACCCCAAACTGGTAACACTGAAGCTGGAAAATTGCTCTTCCCAAGGTGAAATGTATTAGCTTTTAAAAGTAGCTTATTGAAATGGAGTAGCTTCCTTGTTGTGATGGAAACTTCCTTGTTAAAGGAGAGCCCAAAGCTGCATGAGCAGGTGTGTAAGTAGATAGCTGCAGATATGCTGTCTCCATGCCATCCTGCTTGGTGGCTGGGAGTGATGCAACATCAGCTTCCATGTCTCTTGCAGTGCCACAGTAAGGGTGTGCAGTACTTTTTAACAGGGGCCATGTGCTCCCCAGGAACTCTCTCATCACCCAAAGACTGCCTAGCAAACAGCAAAAGCCTGTAAGGTAAGGAAGTAGTTCTGTGGTTTGCAGGCATGTTGTGCCAGAGAGCATGGTGTTGAGTGGGTATATCACATTCCCTATCATGTACCAGCCTCTGGGAAAGTTGAATGGTACAATGGACTGTTGAAAACCACATTGAAAGCAATGGGACCTTCAAACATTGGAATTTAGCAAAAGCCACCTGGTTCGTTAACACCTGAGGCTCTACCAATGGTTAGTTAACACCTGAGGCTCTACCAACTGAACTGGCTCTGCCCAATCAGAACCTCTATGTACCATAAAAGGGGATAAAGTCCCTGTGATGCATATGAGAAATGCGTTAGATTAGACAGTTGAGATTAGTCCTGCCTCAAGCAAAGACAAACCATTCTGTGGGATTGTTTTTGCTCAAGGACCTGGGTGCACTTGGTGGGTGATGCAGAGGAACAGGGAAACACGACGCGTATCTCACCCAAAAATCAAATACACCAGTCAGGAGCTCCTGGTGCAACCAACAGCACACCAGTCTTCCTGACCTGGAAGACATCTAGGATGGATAGAACTCACAGTCATGGACTAAGTGAACTCAACAGACATCCTGGCAGGGGGGATGGCTATTAGCTATTGAAATAATCCATGCAACTGTACACAAGGACAGGTATTATTTCATTCTGTACAGGTTACTCTGCTTTTCAAGCAGTTGCTCAGGGAGGCTTTCCCTGTGACAGCAGAGGACAGAACCAACCTCTCGGGCCAATGGCACTTGTGCATTGGCAGTTGGCACTAACTGAACCCATGGCTTTTCCTTAGGCTTGAGAGCTGGGAACAGCCTGATCCTGGTCACAGTACAGCCAGTGATGCCTTCAATGGCCTTGAGCAACTCATACTTTCTCTAAGTCTGTAAAGTGAGTAAATAGTTTTGTGGTTTGCAGTCATGGTGTGAATACTTTAAAAGTGCTTTGAAGACAGAGGAAGGTAAGCAGCTGTAATACACAGTGATCTTCCTACCATTCAGATTGCTACCTGTTCTCCTTCCATTCTGAACTGTCAGAGCCCAGCTATTAGCAACTCTTTCATCATTCTCAGGTGATTTTCAAGTGAGTTACAGGAATAAGTGCTCTCTGTGCTATCATTTCTTAATCACACCAATGAGCGGGTTTATCATTCTCTTAAAGAAAAGAAATGTACATTTCACTATGTTATGAGCTGTGGACACTCATGTGCTTAACTACTGGTTTCTCCAAACTGATGAGGTGAATGAGGAAGGGACGTGTGGCCTATCCTCCTTCAGTAGCATGTGTGTTGTCCAGAGGCTTTTATTATTAAGTCACTTAAATCAACTTGAACAAAATACAGGTTTTTCATAAGTTCAGAGCAAAGTGCGGCCCCATACATACAAAGAACAGTATTTGGTTTTAAAGTTAGTCTTCAAAGAGACAAAAGAAGAAGAATGCTACAACAGATTTTTGAAAAACAATGTCGTCATTTATTCTTTTCTTTGGGGAGTTTCCATTGGTCTTTCTATAGATCGGATGTATTGCTTGAAGTCTCTCCAGTAGTGCTAGGTAAAGTAGCACTAAGTAAAGTATCTTTCAAGGCAGTGTTCCTCACTCGTATGGGCTGCAGGGCAGGATTGGTTCCTTCCCAAATTAAATTTGTTTGATCCTTTCCGTCTGAAACACACAATAAAGACAGACACCTCAACCCCAATATTTACAGTTCAAATACATTTTCTAGAGTTAAACAGTGCACAGCTTATACCAATATATTTTACAACTAATAGCAAATTTCTTTGGATTCAGAGGAAATATTATGGCTCCACTCCTTATGCTTTATTAATACCTAGGCTGAAAGCAGAGCCTGCTTCCTAACCAGTATGAGCTGCTCCTCTTCTAATCTTAGTCCTATGTCCATGTCAGGCTGAGTGCTTTGGGATGAAGCTCTCTACGTGAATACAAGATATTATCATATTACTGTGATTAGACACCATATGTAATAAATGGACTGCTGTTTGTGAGAGGAAATAATAAAAAAAGTGAAAGCCCTCCTGATCAACCTGCAAGTTGATGAAAGGAACACAAACTGAAGAAACACACACAGTTATCAGGACCAAATATCCAAGCTACTAATCATCAGTCAGATCATGTCATGTCCTCATGTTTGCTGCTATTAACTGCATTGCAAGGCATCCCAGGCCTATTCAAATATGTACTTATTTTTCAGTCTCTACAGATGACCCAGTGAGACAAGGTCCACTGTAGCACACAGACCCCTCAGGTACCTGAAGGACTCTGCAGAACAGCCAGTTCATACCTGGGCTGATTCCTATTGTTCTGTAGCAAGGCTTTGAAGAAAGTCAATAAAGCTGAAAGGAGGAGAGTGAAAATCAGGGTATTTCATGGCAACAGGCCATGACGTTATTAATATTAACAGAGGTGATATTGTAAAAGAAACACAAGGCTTACTACATAAGTTGTCAAAGGAAGATGTGTCTCAGTCTTCCTCCTCCTCTGCTCACTTGCTTGTTTCTGTTAAACCATGATGTTTAAAAAAATCACAGGAGTTCTGGAAGTCTGTTTAACACCACTGCTTTTTGAACAGCATCACCCAGGAATTCCTGGCCAAATGAGTCTCAGATTTTGTAAAGCAGCTGACCATAGTTTTCAACTACAAGAGTACTATAGCTTTTTTTCTGGTTTACAGTAAGGTCCATTTTCCACCAAACAGGGTTTATATAGGAAGTTTAGTTGCACTTTTAGTGGAAGTATGATTAAAAAGCATAACTGGCAGTTTTTTTCTGCACTGTTTTTCTAGAATAACTACTAGTCATTCTCACAAATTAAAAAGCATAACATAGGTGGCAGTTTTTTTCTGCACTGTTTTTCTAGAATAACTACTAGTCACTAACAGGTATTGAACAGTTCCCATTGATTTTGTGTGGAATAGCATCGCCCAGTTGTATCCTCATGTGAAGTTGGTTGATGCTATATAAAACTGCTTAGATTTCTATACAAGCTCTGATTCAACCTTTTTATCTTCTCTGAGTGATTCAACTGGTGGAACTGGCCTCAAGGATTACAGATGAACACATGGGGCTAGAAGCCATTGCAAAGTTATTTGTACTGTATGTATGCAAATCAGCTTCAGTTCCAGGTAGTCTGGGAGAAGTTTGAGGGGGATTTCCCTGCTTTATGTAATCTACTGTTACTTCTTAGCTTCCTCTATTCACATGGCCAGGAGACATAAGCTTGACACTGATGGTAATTTCTCAAACTCAATTTGAAAGCAAAGACAATGTACTTAGTGACCTAAAAGCAGTTCTGTAGCTTTTGGTAAATCCTCAGATGCTGGTTGGATGATACCTGGAATGAAGGAGGCCTGAAAGAGTAGTAGGGGAATAACTCAGAGGGTAAGGACTTCGCTTCTGGCATACTTTGCGAATGGTTGGAAGCCAAGAAGATCTGTGTGCTATCCCCTCAGATATAACTCTGGCCTACCCATAGCACTAATTTCTCATTTCTCAATCCATACAGAGTGCTACACCTTGCATGTGATGGGCACTATCAGTTTAGTCTCTGATCAGTGTGAGGTAGTTACAAGTCCCCTGCAGACCAGACTGCCAGCACACAGATGTGACTGCCTTCACCTTTCCACGTGGAGGTGAGTAACAACACTTGTCTTACCATGTGCTTAAGCATATCCTGTCCCACTAAAGATAGTCACTGAAATGGCAGGCTGGACAGGCAGGTAGGAGAAACACCCTGTCTGCTAGAAACTCAAGGAGAGCTCTGTGCTGCTAAGGCCAGACTGCTTCTGATATCCAGGTAAGCCTGCTCAGGGCTCGGCTCCCTACCCAGTATATCATGCTGTACACATTGTGGTGTTATTATTCCAAATTGGAAGATTTATAATTCAGCAACTACCCAGATTCTGAGAAACGCGCTTACCAAAACCCGCAGCTAAGGGAAATACAACATGTGAAGTAAGCATGGTGGCATTGAGAAGGAAGGAAATCTCTCTGCAGTGCACTGATAAAGTGTGCTTGATATATACTGCGTTCAAGCTGGGCAATCTGCAACTTGGAAAATACAGGCTAGCTGAAGGAAATTCAGCTTGGAGGCCCTGGGGACTGAATCAGTCTGTTAAAATGCTTTGTTGGTTTTATTTATCACTACTTAATTAGGATGCTTGACCAACACACTGGAAAGATAGCAACTGTTAAATATTCAACAAGCTGACCTTTCAGTTACAATATTACAATTCTGAATAAAGTTCATGGAAAGTTTGTCCTTCCTAGGTACTCCAACAAAGCCAAAGGGAATGAGACTGGGCCAAAAAAAGAAAAAAAAAAAAGAGTAGAAAAAAAGTAGGGCAGTACTGTGGAGACCTGCTTAAAAATCCAAGTCTTGCCATAGACTCATTGAATGATCTTGGGCAAGTTGTTTCCTGCCCTGTGCTTCAATTTTTCCCATCTGTAAAAAGAGTACAACAATGCTGACCTTCCTTGTAAATCGTTGAGATGAATAGCTAGAAAAGCAGTAATACATTATTAATTACTTATTATTATTTCTGAGGAAGAAAAAGCAAAGAGAAGAAGCCATCAATCTTTCAAGGTTTTCTTGATCCTCATAAAAAATAAAAAAAGCATGACCTTACGTGAATTTCACACAACAGAAACTTTTGATAAGTCACCTTTTAAAAAGAAATAGTGGGTATACAATTAAAAGAAAGTTTTAAGTGAGCAGACACTCAGGAAAATGCTCCAGATGGTAAAATGAGTTAGGCTGCAGAGCAGGCTCCCACAGGAAGCCGTGAAACCCCCATTGTTTGAGACATTTGAAACTGAGTTCTTCAAAGTGCTGGTATATATAATACAAGGAGTCATTCTGCACTGCCTCAAAGTATAGCAGCCCTGGGATGGCCTGAGAGAACTTCACTTACCACTTCTCCAATTTTAAGAGGATTCTTGATGCTTTGACTATGGAGAGCTGTAGACTCTCTTTTTATCAATATAATACCTGAGGAACATCCGCCAGGGAGTAACTACACTGTTTTTGCAGGAGATGGATTCACCAATCCTTAACAGATCTTTCACATCCGTACTTCCAATGTCTGAACTTTATATGTCCAACAGGGGAAAAAAAGCCCCCCATTCTCTGAGAATTACAGTGTGCATCCTACTATTTATTTCCTGTATTACAATCTAAAGAGAAACTGGGTGGCTAGATTTTTACGAGCAGTGGTTTGCAGAAGAAATGCCATGATTTTAATGGGAACCAAATGAGCAATCGTTACGTAAACAGTATTATGAGACACAGAACTGATGCTGAAATGGTAAATGCTTGGGTCAAACTTCTCAAAATGGGAACTGGCAGTGGCATGCTGGAACACTGGGGTTTCTTCACACTCAAGATACTACTGCAAACATTTCCCACTGCTGCTAATGCTGGTTCAGCTCCTCTGCAGGTAGCTGTGGAGGGTGTCTGACTGCTTCTGCTGTTACTAGCTTAAAATCTTATTACCTTTGGGCCAGTTTTATTGCTAGAACTTGGTTAACTGGTTGGAGCAGGTAGAGCAAGAAAACTTTTTGAAAGAAGCTAGAATTAGAGTTTTAAAACCTTCATTTCCTCTTGGTTTCATACCTGCTAGTATACAAAAATATGACGTTAATTGGTTCAGTTGGTATATGAGCACTAGTGATCCTGTCTTACTCTATTCACCTGGGCAGGACAGCCATGGAGCGCTCCTGATCCCCTCTCAGCCCCTTGGGCAGGGGTGCTGTGCCTGGAGCAGCAGCGCTGTGCACCCCAGCACGCTTTGCCTGCTGCCTCTGCAGAGGAGGGCTGGCACTGCCTGCATGCTGCCCTGTTCCTGGCCAGAGATGCAGCAATTTCCTCAGGAATGAATCATGGACAAAAAACCAAACAACAGCTATTTAAGAAGTTTTCTTCTCCCCCTGCACTGTCCTGACCAGTATCATATTCCTGACAGTTTATTCCTCAAGAATTTAGTCATCTAAGGTTTCAGTGACTCATGTGATGAACCTTCCACCCATTTCCTGGAAAGTGTCTTGCAAGGTCCTCTACACCTCTTGTCATTTTCCTTGAGGGTCTCAGTTCTCACTACATTTTCATACAGTTCAGCTTTCCTTCATTTTTGGGGCAGAGGGGGGAGGCAAAAATACCTTGAGTGGACCTAAATTTGCAGTGTAACCAGAAAGCAGAGTGGTGAAAAACATTCGGAAAACAAAGACAGGCACTGGACCAGAGAATCTTTTTTGGAAGTAGTTGCCTCTTAGGGCTGAAATCTGGTTAGAAGAAAAGGAGCTGCTCTATAAAGTGCTGTGTGGTCCAATACAGTCATGAATTTACCAGGGCTGTACCCTGTAAAATGAAAATGAGAAAGATTTGAGGGCTCTCTCAAATCTTTGCCTGGGTAGGTGTGACTCACCCTGGGTAAATGCCACTGATGACAAGTACCCTGACAAAAAATATTGAATGAATTGGGCTGGATGGGAACCAAAGTAATCATTTTACATACTTGCACCAATCTGAAAGACACTTCTGTGTAGAAAACAACTGCTTCCTTTTCCTGATGAAAGTTCAAAAGCTGCTCATAGACAGCTTGAAGGATACTTCAGCAAGCTCTGATCCCAGTGGGGTTGTGCTATGCTGACAGCAGACAGCTGCCCGGACATCAGTGATGCCCAGACCATATCTCCTACCCCATACAGAAGTGCTACCTGTACATGTTTATGTTACAGTTAAAACGGGAAGTGTGGGTTTAGTGTTTTTGTTAAAATATTCAGAAATATCTGAGAGTGTGAGCTCATCAACCTCATTACCAAAGGGTGAAACGGCTCAGCAGCAGTGCCAGTGCATGCTTAGAGACCTACCCCTTCCACACCTAAGTCAGCAGAGTAAGCAACCTGATGTACACTAACATGAGTAGAGATAGTTAAGGAATTTGCAGATCTGTGTGCTGAAAGGGCCAGCACGTCCAGCATTCTTATAGGATTATTTCAGTGCTCAGTTATACCAGTGTAAATGGTATGTATACTGGTGTGTGTGCATACACACACACACACACACACGTCAATATATATATGCTGACATGCATCAGAAGCCTGTTCCCTTTAAAGGGATATAGTGTCAGAGTTGGCCCGACATTCTTCTTATTAAACAAAAATAAACTCCTACAAGCCCTGATTCCAACAGAAATGTTTCCATGATTTATTTTAAGAAGGGAACATTCCCCTGCAGTGTTCACCACAACCCAAACATTGCAGCACTGTGCAAGAGCATGAGAATCGGAGAGGACACTTAAGAATCTATTTTCACTGCTCCAGAAGAGAAATAAAAACAGAAAAAGCAGTGACAAATAGATTTTATTTTAGTAGCAGCTGTAGTGTTATCTATAGGATGGCTAAGGAGAGCAGACTTGAAGTATGCAGGCTTTTCCAGTGATTCCTACAGGACATATGACTAAGTGTGTGATGGGGACTTGTGGGAGCCATCTACACTGTAAGGAAGAGATTTATTTTTCTTTAGTTGATCTTTCCTGCTCCTCACACTTTGCCTTTCACATCTGAGAATCTGAACAGCAGACTAGAAGAAATTGCATCACTGTTTTCAAAGCTAGGAAATAATTTGAAGCTTGGGCAAGCTATCCAGAGAACAAATTCTTCATTTGTGGAAGAGCTCTTAGATGCTTGAAAATAACGGGAAGAATACTTCCTCTAAATATCTGGAGCCCTCTGTTCTACAGAAAGGGGCCCCAGCCCTCAGTGCTACTGCTTGTTTCTTTGCTCAAATTTGCAAAAAGCAGCAAGCATTAGAACTAAAAAAGGGCATATGTTGAGGAAGCACATAGTTTCGTGACACAACAATTGACTGCATTCACACACACATGCATGCAGACATGTACACACAGCACACAGCTCCTTAGTCTGAAAGGTCTGTGTACTGAGGAGAGAGAAAAAAAGTGAGTGAAGCTTGCCCAAAAGAGACTATAAAGACTGATCTTATGGCAGATTAGTGACTTCACCAGAAAGTTTTTGGAAGCCATAAACAGGAAATGGTTAAGTAAAAGCAGGTGGAGCATGCTGATTGCAGGAAAAATGCAGGAAATTGCTGAGCGTCTGAATGGATGCAAAAAAAATGCTCTTCTGCACAGGCCTTGGCAGTCACTGTACACCTACTCTGCTTTCTCCTGGTCCTCCCTCACTATCTTTATCTCCCCAAGCTGCAAAGTCTCAAAGTCTGCAAACACCTTTTGCTTGAGTAATCTGCTCTCCTTGAATTTTGGAACCAGTTCAGGAGAGTTGGGAGGTTCTGCTTGGAAGGCGAAAGACAAGAGGGGACTCACCTACTTTGACAGGGGTGAGTCAGAAGCACCCAGCAGTACCCACTGCCTGTCAGGGGCTTCAGGTCTGAGGAGCCAGAACAGCATCTTGGCTACTACCACAAATGTTGGGTTCCCAAATGTGTTTAGCATAATAGTTAATCAGAGGAACATTACTCCTATTGCCCCTTCTATTCAAGGGGACTCCCAAAGCACTAAGCTGCAGAGATCATTCTCCATCTCTACTGAAACACAGTCCCGTCTGGGACAGAGTACTGCAGATGTTTAATAGCTCACAGCAACATCACACAAGCAGATGGAAAAGAAAGTGGAATGTGCAAGAGGCATTCTTTCCACTTTCCTTCTAACCCTTCCTTTCTCTCCTCTTTGTCCACAGCAATTTATGCCAATTCTAGACAACTCCAGATGTGTGTCTTTCCCACCAGTATCTGCAGAGACTTGGCTCTGGAGATAGAATTATGTTTGCCAACAGGCAGCGTCCCTGTGCCTTCAGACCCAAGGGTCGAGTTCCTGCTGCCACACTTTCATCCCTGGCTCTGCTGCCAGATGTGCTGTGGGATGGAGGGCAGACATGCTGGTAAGGAACAATTCTGCTTTCTTCTAGATGAGTATGGTGTTGATATAAAATTATGTAGCATACACAAGACACTCTTGCCTTCAAAGTATACTAAACAGTCACATTAATGATCTGAGGAAAGTTAAGAAAGAAGTACGTAGACTTGTTTAATAATTTTGACCTTGTCTACATTTTAAGTATTGGATGGTAAAGCTATATTGGCAAACTCCGTTCTTAGATTTTAATTCTAGGAGAGGAGGAGAAATATCTATTTCTTATATTCTGAGCAAAGAAAACACTAATGGCCAACTGGCTTTTATGTAGTTACAACTGCAAAAACAAAAAGTTTTTTCTGGCAGAGAAATCTTGCAAAGAAATCCTGATCTTTTTTGACGTTGTTATTTTGGCCAAACTTACCAGGTGTTATTGTAAGTTCAAACTTATGCTGCCTTTTCTATATCTTTTAAAACAGAGAGTTACTATATACAACCTAACATTTTTGAAGTTCAAATTCCTAAATCCTAGTCTAGACAGAGCCTTTGGGAGGAAGGTTCAAATTCTCCCTGAGCAGTCTCCAATATCCCACACTTCTGCCCAGGCCATACCTTCCTGGGAATGTCCTGAGAACAGCTGTGATCAGAGTCTGGCACTCTGTACTGCCACTCCCATGGAAGGAGAGAGGGGACACTGCCAGGGAGAGGTTGATGTGACACCTTCTGCAAGCACCACCACACTCCTCTAAGATGCCATGGGGCATAAGTGCACAGAGAGGATGTGTGCTATCAGCTTCAGATGAATGACAGGACACCTTCAGAGAGCTAAACCTTGGCATTGACCTTTGGGAAAAACCAGTCTGTGATTCATACTGTGATTCATACATCTAAGAAACTGAGAAAATAATTGGAATGAGCTGAACAAAAATAAACAGGTGTCTCCTTCCTGCTCCTTTCACAGTTTCTGCTTCCCTGCACTCTCACCCACATTTTTTTTTCTCTTAAGTTGTTGAGAAAAACAGCAGGAATGAGGTTCCTGGTATAATTACAGTTTGCTGACAAAATAGCAGCCTGCAGCAGTGATTCTTTTACTGCTAGAGACAGATGTTGCTGAGGTCTAATCACAGTCTTCCCACTAACCAGGCCCTGAGTCTAATCTGTCATCAGCTGAGAGGCTGCTGGCTCCCGCAGTGCCTGTGAACCAAAGCTGCTCTGTTTGTTCCTCTCCCTTCGTCCTGAGCCAGGCAGTGCCAGAAGGAGGGTATGTTTCCATTCACTCCTTGCCCTTGATACTAAAGTGATACTACAGCTTCAATGTGCTGCTTATCTCTCCTCCATGCCTAGTATCAGGGCCTTTCAAAGCCTCGCTGGAAAGCGCTCAAGTGGTTGTTTTCAACTTGCAATGCATAGTGACTGCAGTTCAAAAATAAATTTAAGCTAAGTTGAAGGAGAGTCTTAATGAGAACAGCCTGTAGCTAATACCTCCTTCCAAAATGTATGGTATTTTCTGCTTATTAAGAGAACAAGGCTGCACTCAGTGATGGATCATATAACCTCCATATGTTAATAACAACAAAACCCAAAAGCTGACGAGCACAGAATTAGGAGGAGGAGAGAATAGCAGAACTGGGTATACTGAAAAAAGTCAGGAGAGAGAATACATGTGGGAGGAGACTGAACAAATCTCTCCTATGTGTTACACAGAGATGCCATTGCCATCAAATGTTTTGTATCTGACATTCAAAGTGCATTGGGCCACATCTTTGAACTTCTCTGTGCTAGTGAAAGAATCTTGAAAAACAACAGACGTCACCAGCTCAGAAGTGCCCCTGTCAGACAAAAGTCACCATGGTACTGGATTAACATCTTTAAATTGGATTCTGGTCGTGGAGGGAAACTGGCTGAAGAAGTCTATTTCAAAGGCATATTACTGCAGCATGAGTGAGCCAGTGAGAACTAGGAAAGTTCTTAAGCTGGTACCCACCTCACAGTTCTGTACAGTTAACAACTGCCCTGAAGTAGCAGGGAAGATGCTAGGTTGGGGAGGTGTAGACGAAACATCTGTGTTTTGCATAAGTAGCTCTTAAGCAAGGCATAAAGGAACAGAGTAGGTCGTAATTTCTAGTCAGAAGCAAGGGTGTATTAAACAAGTTGACTTTCTGTAGCAACCTTTGGCCAACTCAATTTCTTCTTCAGCTTTTTCTGAATCTGCATACGGTAGCTGGGCACAGATCTCTCCAGTAAAGGTGTGCAGGGCAGCATCTCAGCCACTGACAGACTGAGGGAAACAGAAAGCATAGCACAATGTGTCAGAAAAGAGGGAAGGAGTGACTAACACAGGAAGAAAAACAAAGCAAAGATGAACATAGAGCATAAGAGAAGCAGCAGACTGTTGGCTGTAAATCAGTTTTCTTACACTCAGAATGGTGGGCATTATGGTGAGAGAAGCTGTACTTGACAGTCATGGAAGTCCAAGGAAGTTTGATTAAGATTAAATGGCAGTCACAGGCCAACATAGAAAAGAGGCTCTAAGGTTAAAATAAAGACAGGAAGTGACTAAGTAGGTCAGAAGCTGTGGGTAATGAGCTGCATAGATTAAGTGGGACTTGGAGCAACTGAGGTAGCTCTGCTAATGACAAGTGATAACACTTACAATGTTACCAAGTTTAACAAATCTGACTCTGAAACCACCTTCAAGGCCTAGATAGCAAATCAGAGATTGCTGAGTCCTAATAGTATCTACATCAGAGTAGATCCTGTATGTGTTTTTTAAAAAGAGATCGGTTTTACAGTCACTTTTTGACCTTGCCAAGCTTCCTGTAAATAGTGTGCTGTTTTGTCCGAACAGGATTTCTTCTTAAGGAGCTGGGAAAAATGAACCGACTAATAGAAACGGTGAGACTGAGAAGGGCTACTGCAGGTTGAAAAGACAGATGCAATGGAGAAACTCCTTTCCACTCCTCAATTCAATAAGTCTTTGATTCGCCAGCTTTGTTCACATCCAGGACAGCCGGAAGAAAACAGTCACCTTGTATTTTTGTACCTGATGAGAAAACCCCAGATTGTATGTGTGCACTGGGACAGTTCAATGTCTGTCTATTCCAACTTCAAAGAGGCTTTCAATGCTCTTTGAGATGCAGGGTGTGAGGAAGGGTGAGAACTGCTAAAGCTAGCCACATCCTCATTAAATCTTTGCCCTCTTGGAGCAAGCATGCAAGTGGAGAGAATAGATGATATGCATGAGCAACTGAGCATCTGTGATCTCATGACCTTTGACTGTTGTATTATGGGAAATGTATTCTTTGGTTGCTATGCTTTTCTAATTCATTTGTATTTTCCTTCAGTGACTCCCTTGTATTTTCTCTGGTGCTCCTGTGTAACGGCTTCAAGGAACTACAGATATCTCCAAGTTAAGCATCCATACAATAGCTTTAATTAAATGTTTGTGAGTATCCCACAGTAAAGCGAGGGAAAGCAAACAGTTTTGTACTCACTTGTACCTATCCCTTCTGAGCCCTGGCTTGGGTGGAGGTGTCTGCACCATTGCCCTTTAAGTCTATTTCTAAGCCTTGAAATGAAGGCAATCAGGTTCTACTGCTCTGCCTGTAAACGCTTCAGGAATTTCACTCCCATTAAAAAGCTACAGATCACCTGTGAAATGCTAAAACCTTTTAGATTAGGCTAGAAGAAATAAAAAATAAATTAGGGGAGAAGTTTCTTTACTCCACTTACAAAACTGGAGAATGAGGCTAAAAATATCCTTAACCATTTCTTAAAATACACTAAAATGCTATAGGGAAGAGTAGCATGAAAGTAAAGGCTTTGGTCTTCAATATTCTGAAATCAATCTTTTTTATTCTCTGTGCCATTGACAGAGTCTCAGTCTTGGTGCCACCCTCCACGATAAATTAGATGATGATGATGATGATTATTATTATTATTATTATTTTAGATGGGGATCTTTGCTTGTTTCCCAAGTAGTTAACTACATTTTTTATGTATAGAAGAAAGCTGCAAAGAAATTTGTTTTCATTTCAGGCATTTAAAATAAATATACATGAAGAAAATGAAATTCGGAAGGGAAACTTTCATCATGCAAAGATGAAGGAATAGGAAACAGGATGCAAAGGTTATTTGTCAGTTCTTTGAGTCAAATACAAGACAATTTTACAGCATGTAAAGTAGTGAGTCTCTTTAGAGGAAGAATCTTTCTTTCTCTTGATATGGAAGAGTCAGCAGTATCTGCAAGGATAACCAAGAGGCCTAACACTAGTGATTACTGCTAATGCTTAGTACTAGTATAAAGTACTTCTCTTAAGTTTTTCAATGACTGACATCACTATTATTTCAGAGTTGATATAAACTAATTTTAAAACACTCTGACCTAGCTGTACATATTTTATTGCAAATCTGTCCATTACTTCTCAGTGGCTCCCAGAGACAACATACATCAGAAAATATAATTGTAAGACAAGAAAGAAAAAATAAAGGCCAGTTCGACGAATAATAAAGAATCCATGCTTCTAACACTGACCGTGGCTATTCCCCACCTGAAACCAGAGACATTGCCAGTTTTTGCAGTCTGATGTGCTGGATTCGAGTGGAGGCTGCGCAGAGCAGGGGCTGGCCTAGATTTGCTGGAGCTTGAGCAGCAGTGACTTTTTACAAGGGAACAGAAAGCATGGGTTGTTTCCCTTACATAGCAAGGCACAAACAACAATAGGGTTATCTGAGAAGATTGAGAACTGCTGACATTAGAAACATGAACTGGCAACTGCAAAGAAGAGCAGGAGTGGGATGAAAAGCAGTCCTACAAAGTGAAGGAGGAAAGGAGGCCAGGGAGGATCTAAAATTGGGAGCAGCTAACAAATGCTGATAGAGACATCTTTCCTCAAGGGCCTGATCCTGAGCACATTCAGGCCAACTTAAAGATTTCTACACAGATTTTTGAGATACTCTTAGTGAAGATTTCTGCTTTTTGACCCTCTCTTGAGATATAGTCTGCAATTCCACTGCATCTTCAGGAAATGCTTCTGAAAAATACACTTAGTTTTGATGATGGCTGAGAGTAAAGAACGTTTATTCTGAGGGTTGTGTGAAGAAGGATTTACATTTCACCCTCCTTCATCTCTGCGATGTCTGTCTGATGCCTGTATTCCAGCCCATCAGTTCAGATAGCCCAGTGACTGTAGCAAGGATGCAGAACAACGGCGCAAAGAGGGCACACAGCCTGGCCTTTTTTGGGTTTCTGCTCTGATAATGGCGGGTTTTGATTTTTGTTGTTTCATTTTCTGAATTATTTACTCAAGCTGCCCTGAGCGCTCTGCTCCATATAAAACGAGAGCTGGCAAGTACTGAGATTTATAAGTTCCACAGCTCCATCAGCTTAACTTTTATTCATTGCCTTAGACTTTTCTATTTGTCATTTACATTTTTTGCTTAGTACTGTTTATATCTCACCTGTCAGTCTTCTAAATAAAATGACTGGCAGAATGACTGTCTTCACTGTTGCTTCTCTGTCTCCTACTATATTGCAGTTGTGAAACTCTTGCACCAAAACCCAAATTACTCTTGTTTTCCATCCTATCATGTACTCCATGGACTATTTCTGTCCTTCTCCTCTAGTAGGACAGTTGATTTACATCACCAAGACTAAGGCCAGGAAAATGGATGCCTGACTTTCTCCCAGGGCTGAGATTTTATGGAGAGCAATTAGTTAACTATTTTCACCATACTTCCCAAAAATACCCAGCCCATCTCCACGACACTAATTAAGGCCCATAGGGATGCAGTAATCTTAGGCCTTGGGCAACCATAAGTACATTCAGTCTTCTCTGGTTCTTCATGTTGCATTTCCCTTTAGTAAATCATAACTATGTTTATTCTCCAAATACATAAGGAGCCTGAAGTTAAAGGTCAAAGTTCAGTGCAATCCATCTACTCTGATACCTAAACAGTGCAATTTACTGACAAATGCTCCCCCAAATTTTCTGCTTTCTTGGGATAAGGAGAGGGAATTGAAAGAGAAGAAAACAGTGATTAGTGATTTCTTTACAACTTCTTTTTATTAGCTTGTTCTAAACCAGTTTGGTGTCCCCCACCTATCCCTGACATAAAAGCAAGTGCAAATGTAGCAGACCTTTCTGTACGCTGTGAATGCAGTGCCTGTCACCCTGTTGAGACCCCAAACAGACTTGGAAGCAAGAAGACAGGTTGAAAAATGAGTATAAATACTCTGTACGAAGCTGGTAAGAC